CTTCATAATTCCCCCCTTTCATATTTGGGTTCACTTTCCATGGTATAGGAACTACAAAATGACCATTTTCGAAGCGTGTGCCCTCTTCCACAATCCTTATAGCCGCCTTATCTTCTAGCGATGCTGATTTATCATTTGAATAAACATCAGAAAACTCTACATCATAAAGTTTACGTATTTCGTTCTCCAAGGTCTGTATCTTACTGGTATGATTGACCACTCTTCTCCTATATTCCGGATACGACGCAGGTCCGAAGACCGTCCAACCCAGCAACGTCTTCACAGCGTACGGGCTTTTTCTCCCACCCAACCGCTGGTCTAACACCCAGTGTGCTTCTGGTACGTCGCAACCAATCAACAGCAGAACTTCTTCAGAGTCTAAGTTAACTATCGGTACATCCCTTAAATGTGGCCACTTAACTAGGCTGTTCACTGCCGACTTTGTTGGCTTATGGCCTGGTATACCTGCCACAATCAGAGCTCCTTCAATCGTAACATGTTCAGCTCGATCTAAAGAATATACCTCAAAAGGCGCACTCGTGACCTTCATTGTTCTATTACCGCCCACAGTCTCAACTACCACTGATGCTTCGTCTTCGCTCAGCCCGAGAGACCTCAAACAGTTTGATTTTATCAGTGTCACATCAGAACCGTTGTCCAACAGAGCATAACCCACAATCTCGGCTTTTCGCGATTTCAACCGTACGGGAATCATGCCTAAACACACTTGACTGATTAGTGATTTAGTATATCCGCAACAACTCGAGATACCAGGTTTCTCACTCTCGCTGTGCAACAAAGAATGGTGTTTCTTTTCACAACCCTCAACGTTACAGCGCTTTGTCAGCTTACATTCATTAACTCTATGTCCTTGTCTAAGACAGGCGAAACAGATACCCTTGCTTTTAGCGTGAGACCATCGGTCTTGAACTGTAAGCGCTAAGAACTGTGGACATTTATCAATGGCATGGTCGTAGGAACACATACTGCATTTAGTTTTTGTTGTCGAACTATTCCCTTGCTCTGATTGCACGTGACAGTTCGTCCTCACGTTATGTCCTTTTCTTGAACGGTTTGCTAACCGTCCAAATCTACTACAAGCCACTCTCGCACGCGATGCGATAAACTGAGTGAGCTCGTGGAAGGTCGGTTCCCTGTTATCTTCAGTCAATTTATCCACCCAGTCCGCCCACTGGGCTTGCATAGGTTGAGGCAAAAGTCTCACTATTCTTTCCAAGGTAACTAAGGAATTTAGATCAGAAGTATAATTCATCAGTTCCAAGACCATGGCACAGTTTTCTATTTTAATAGCCAAATTTGATAGTTGGTCCCCGTCAGTATACTCAAAATTCACAGCACTGAATAAGTCCTCTAATGTTTCTCGAGCAATTACGTGAGACTGTCCGAAAAAACGTTTTAAAATCTTCCTTGCTCTTTTATAGCCAGAGGATGCCTCCATCATGACGCAACCTTCAATAGCTGTTTTAGCCTTGCCCTTACAGTAGTGTATCAAATAGAGTAAGCGCTGGCTATCATCCGTGACTCTTGACGCTACATACGTCTCAAATTGCCTTATAAATTTCCAATAACCTCTTGGCTCTCCATCGAAATAACTCAGCTCAACCTTAGGTACCTCTGGGCCAACAACATGGACTATAGGCGACATGCTCTTTCCTAGTAACTCAGGCCTTTGCTCCTCCTTTAAACTAAGATTTTTTACATCATCTGACATCAAATTAAGACTAGAATCACTGCCCTGATAATTAACCCTATTTAAGTCTGAACCATGACCCTTAAGGACGTCAAAAGGCACTTGCTTGACAATAGGGGATTCTTCGTTAACATCGACGAACTTTGAGCCTGATCTCCTTCGACGATTAACTGGCATTATAAACGAAACGACCAATTAACTCCAGAAAATCCGTGAACGATTACCAAAGGATTTCGGCCAAGTAATATTTGTTTAGAACTACAAGATCCAAACCACGTTTGGACTGCTGGACAGCTGCTTGGATAAGTTGGATACGCGCCCTTGCCCGTTTGAAATCAGAACAAGGTAATTGGGTAAGATAGCGGTTCTATAATTTATCACAAATTTAAGTATACATTATTACCTAAACAAATATAACCACACAGCTATCCAACCAATAATTGTTTAATTGATCAAATCTAAACAATCACCACAAATAAATGTTATTCTATCCTGTCTGGATAGATCACGTACAGATTCGTTCAAAAGGTAATAATTGGTCGCTCAATAACACAGAGTGTTTTCAATTCTGGAAGAGTGCTTCAATTCACAACCAAAATGCACAATTCCAGTCAACACAGGTCAAGCAATCAAAAGCAAGAACAAACCAAAATGGTTGCCGCCCAGACTTAGTATAAAGTAAAACAACATAAGTGCAGTTCGGGAAGAAACATGGGGAATTAGTGAAGGTGTGGTAAAAACGAAAACTATAATAAAATACGAATATTAACAATTCAAATGTAGTCCAAAAGTTAACAATGTACAACTAAGAAGATCAATAGGAACAAAGTGCAAGTACATACATGGAGGGATTTTCACAAACACACAAGGCATTCAAAATGGATCTTACACCAATTGTGTTCTTGTCAAAAATATCTATTCAAGAAGAGATGATATATGCTTCCTTCGGACAAGTACTTCTATCAATGCACACAACCACTAGGCAATTCTGACACACGTTAGAACCAGGGAGTTCATAGTTTATACGAATCATAAACCACTAATTCATTAAATGCTAGAGTCGATAGGCATTCTCTCGAAGAGGTCCGATACCTCGAATTTATGCCGGAAACAGAACGTTTGCAACAAAACTAGAGTAATCAGTACGTATATTGAACACCCATACTACTATATTTTATGGGGTTATTTGGTGTTGCTGTAATATTTTCAGGTTACTTAGTAACATTATTCAAACTTACTTTTATTTGCTGACACCTCTGAATCGTTAAAGTGGGACATGTTCCGAACACTCTTTAGTTTTCAGACTCAAGAACGAAACTGCATTCTTTCCATCAGTTGATACCGAACTAACTCTATAGATAGTTATCCTCAGTGATTTTTTACGCCACCACAAAGCATTTTTACAAATTAACAGTCGCGCAATATAGTAGATACAAGCCGCGTAGCCAAAGACACAATCAGTCAATACATCTACGGACAATTATTTTCATAATTGATGTACTGTTTTTCCGCAGTTGCCTTCATCTAGCACAGTTAGTTTCTATATATTTTCTTATCAGTTCATGACCCAGTCGGTACCGTCAAACTTTATCAGTTCCATTAGTTTTTTTGAAGACAGCAACTTGTGTGAGGTAGTAGGAAAAGCCTAAACTAAGACGAGTGATCTTCAGTACATTTTTAATAAGGAATCTCAAACAGTATAAGCTCTACGTGATCCCAGAAAAGTTCTTAAGCACTGTTTATGTCCCAGGTTAAGATTAACAATCTGAAATACGGAAGGATTATTTGTAGGACTATTAACAATAGGCTATCATTGAATAAGCGATAAGAACTCATTCATCTCAAGGTGGTGTCTAGAGACGGAAAACAGCGTACAAGCAGTAAAATCGCCCACACATTTGACACAAGTGTTTTTGTGGAAGACGGAGGACCGTACACAGAAAAAAGGGCAAGAACGGTTTTTTGTAGCGCTGCCATCAAAATATATTATACTGCTCTCTTCCACAGAGGTGAAGATATAGACGAGTATCCAGCTGTCGGAGGCGACACTATTGTGCCTGCTTGATAGTGTTCATGAAATAAAGTCAAATTCAAACGTCTAGCTGTGAAATGTGCATTTAACGTATCTCTTACCTCTTTTCAAAATGAAGACAATACTGTCATACAAAATAATAGCAGCATCCAAGGTACGTGTTTTGCATTTGTGGAAAAGTTGGTATTGATCAATATTCTCTTTTAATTTAAGTTGAGCATGAAGTGAGAAAAGTCGAAGTTACTGTTAAGGGTCTAAATTTAGCAATCGTACCATCTCATACTTTCTTTGGTAGTGAGATTACCTTCGTCTTTTTATACACTTCTGGTAAAAAATTAGTTAAAGAGGATCCACTGAAGATCCCCGTAAATAGATGAGACAAAAGCCAACACATTTCTCATCATGGATGCTTGGTCACTTGTCAGATCCTAAACACTGGGATGATTCGAGGGACTGGAGGCATTTTCTAGAATCAGTTCACCTTCGGACTCACGGATGCAGGAAGCATGATATCAAAAGATTGACATACAATAAACGTATTCAAAACATGAGCATTCAGCTGGGCTTCTTCACTAATGAGTCCCCTACTTTCAGGCTCTTTAACTAGTTTTCGCACGTTGGAAGAGATTTTACGGGACAGACGCTTCTGAGTAGACACGAAGTTCAGACGTTTAATTTCTTGGTTTATTAGACCATTCAGCTATTGAAACTCAACTAAATTTTTCTACCCGTGCATCACCTCTTCTCCCCTCCCGACTACGAAACTGGTTTTAGTGGGACAACAAACAGAAAAGCAGAATTTAAGATAACAATTGACAGCATCGACCGTGTTTTCCAATGAGTCGATTGTAAATAAACCACAGTTTGTTGTATGAAGCATGTGTTCAAACCTCGGATATTTTTCCTCTGAGTAATTCCTGTACAAGCAGTTCTAGGCTTGATGCAAGAGTATATTGTTTACTTTAGATAGAGCGTGAATATTATGATGACCAGAACTAAGCAATCTAAAACATTTACGAGTGATAATTGAGGTTCGAATCCGTCTTCCCAAGTTCGAAAGACATGGAATTTTCAACTGTGAGCATACGAGCTCATTTTTCTGGTTACCTCTCAAACAAGTTTATTTACAGCTGCATTCATAATTTTAAGATTGAAGGCTGAAGCATATTTCGTTTGTGCTATTTGCGCTTCCAACAGCGCGCAGTCTAGATAGGTGCACAGTTTAAAATGCCGGCTCAATTGTCTGTTTTCTGAACGATGGATCTACGCTACTTTGCTATAACAAACGAGAAACATATCGTTTGGCATCGGTCGTTCTCAAAACGTAGCTTTGAAGACGTGGTACTTAAATATCTGTTATGTAATCCTCCAGATCAAGATATATACTATAGCGAAGGGGAGTAAGTGCTTCAATCTTGATTTTATTTTCACTCTAGTTTCTCTCTTCATTGCCTGACCGTTTCAGGACTCTCCTTTATCGCGGTAACCGATCGAAATGCTTCTCGACAAAAATTTCGGAACTTGGTTGTAGAGGTTAGCCTGTTCACAAATGAACTTAGTTTTTTATAATTTTTGCTCAATTAACATAATGGTATTTAACGATTTAATCTCGATAATAATATATGATTGGTGTGCATGTGGAACTGTGCAAAACAGTCAGACTGCCAAACTTTATTATCGTACACATTTAATCAAGGGGAACAATTTTTCTTGGGGGTTCAGATGTTCCATAATGTTTATATGAAACTAATCTCCAAACGCTGTAGATTGTGGAAGAATAGTGCGAACATCACTACAGATCAATGTTATGCTAATTGGGAGGCACTTTTACGAGTCGTTCATACGAGTCCGTTAAGAAATGTCACCAATCTTAATACGGTTGAATAAATTGTTGAGTTATAGTAAGACCCAAAAGGTTCGAGGTTTGTTCTAACGAGGAATACTATTACATCCATGGTACAATTGAGGCTTTTGGGGTCCAAGTACCATGTGGACGTTCCAGTTTTCTGTATGTCACATGTAATTTCGCCCTTATAATACACGTCTAACGTTAAATTCACATTTATACACAGAAAATCTAAAATCCTACTAACAAGTGTGATGATAAAGTCTCTACTTTTGTGGTCGCAAATATCGGTTCTATTTGGTCTAATTCGAAACCAACTTATTCACTAGCTGGACTAGGTAGACTGATACTCGAATATGAAAAGTTGAGTAGCTCACTCGATGTGATTGAATCCAGTCCATAGAGTAGTGTGATATAAATTTCGGTGCTTCAAAGCCTCTAGTTTGAGAGAGCTCCCAACTTGAGATTGTGAAGTAACATCATTCCCAATTTAAACGCTCGACTGATAATAATCGGTAATATTATTAGTTCTCAGTTTCCTGTCGATTTTGGAACCATGTTTGATAGATGTATTAGATTTCCCTTCAGTTACCACATGTTTATCAAAAAATCCCTAAAGCGAATTAACAACGTGATAATAATGAAGTCTAATTTTGTTTTTCAACACTTTAATTTTCAGGTTTCTCGCAATTTTCTAAGCGATGGTACAAGATTTCAAAGGGCTAAAAGTGGTGGTAAAGATTGTTTACAACAGTCTTATAATATAACCTTGGAAGATTTGATGGTAAGTTATATTGTATCATTTCTGATTGTAATCTTTTAAGAAGTAAGTTATGGTTGATGTATAATATACTGAAAGAATTGTATGTATTTTGACTGAACAACTCCCTAATATCTGGAAATGTTGGTCTGTGGCTTGTTTCACAAGTCTAAATAACTAAGACGTCTGAAAATTTCAGAGATAGTCAACTATCTTTAAGCTTTAAACGTTATTCTAAGATTTTTTTTCTCGGTGTTTTGACATCACCTCAATTGGTTTAATCTCGTTTATGTGGTAAAGAATCGTAATTAGACTTTTAGTTGTTTAGTATCCTGAATCTATCGATTGTGATATAATTCTGGTACGGAAAATAATGATACAGGACTTGAAACTACCAGTCCACTACGACTTCCCGGTTAGAGTCTTGGTGATTGTGGAGAAGTTATCAGGTGTTACTCAGAGTCAGTGGCTATTCTGCTATAGTTCGTGAACTGAGGGGAATCGTTTTTGGCTAGATTTTTGACTAAACGTTTTCTCTGATTGAATACTGTTTTTAATATCTATGAATTGTGTGACTTCTCACTTCTTTTCCCCTATAATATTTTCAATCCCTTTGTATGGAATGCTTTTTGTGCTGAAAGCTATATCAAATATTCCCGAGTACCTGTACTACTAACCCTGTTTCATTGATTTGTTTGTCTATCTGAAACACAATCAGATGGCACATAGATTTTCTTTGGCCGCTTTGAAACCTCATAGTTTTTCAATCCCTATTATTTATCTTAAAAGAGAGTACATGACTGCATTTATACATCATCTGCTTTTAATTGCTGAATACCATATTTTTTACTTAATGACGTCGAATATGTGTCCACCGTTGTCCACATGCATTGATGTAAGCGAGGATATATTATGCCGTTTGACCGCTAATAGGTGTCTATGCAGTCGAAGATAAAAGGGCGTCCACCTTGTCTGATGTAGTGTTTTTCGCGATTGGAACAGTTTGTTTTGTAGATGATGTTTGGTTTTTCTTCTTTTGTCCCTTCGTCCTGTGGTTTGCATAGGGTTAGTTAAAGTGATTTTACTGGTTTATGTTCTCCACCTATTCCAAGCAGCTTCAATAACGTTTTAATTTCGGATGTCCTTTATATATGGTAGGATTATCCGTTTACTGATTTCTGTGTTTGATTTCGTTTCTGATAATAAATTGGGTTAACATTTCTTGGTGAACTTGTGTGGGTAGCCGTTCTTTTGGTGGATGGCCACCAGATATTTTCCTTCATTTTTCCGTGCTGAAAGTGTGCTGCAGTGTGTTCTCACCCTCTTGAATAAACTTTGTACGTAATTGATCTTCTGAGTTTTTGGGTTTTCACTGCTGTAGTTGAGAATTTGATCTGTGTGGGTTGGCTTCCCATATACTTGAGTCTCCAGTTTTCTTGTGTCGGTTCTGATAATCAGTACATCAAATAATGATGATTTGTTGTTCGACTCCTTTTCCATTGTGGATTTTATGTCATCGAAGACGATTTTGATCAGATTGTAGTTGTTTTCCATCACATCGCTTTTGATGATGACGAATACGTAGCCCACATAACGAACCCGCATTTTGGTTTGATCACCGGTAAAATCGAGTCTTCTCGTCTCTGCATCACTGCTTCTGCAATAAGTTCTACTATTGATAACCCGATCTATGTACCTTTCGTTCGATTAGAAAAATGTTGAGATCTGGATAGAGAAAATACTAAGAACACCAAAGAATTTGTGAGAGGCTTGGCACTCGAGTCAGTCAGCAATCAATCCAAAGGAAACGGATTCCCTTATTTTGTACTAGATAGTAAAATGTATTTTTTGTCACTTATTCGTATCATTCCCATGTCTGTTGATCCGTCTTTCTCTTTATCAAAGTTAATTTGGATTCTGTCTCCAATCTCCACTCTCCCCATTCTTGTTCAACTTTGTGGTCGACGTACTTTTAGAGATAACACTCTCTTCATCTAAATTTCCAGGGGTTGAACTTCTACCGGGAGGTTCACTTGTTGACTTAGAATATGCAGATGACATAGTTTTATTTGGTGAAGACGCTGACAAAATGCAGAGTCTTCTGACCACTCTAAGCAACAATGCAAGCATGTTCGGGATGCGATTCTCTCCCTCGAAATGCAAAATCTTGCTTCAGGATTGGGTTACATCGACACCCGAACTAGTGATAGGGAGTGAAGTAGTTGAGTGTGTCGACCGCTTCACTTATCTTGGAAGTCTTATCAGCCCTTGTGGTTTGGTGTGTGACGAAATCTCAGCACGGATACAGAAGGCTCGACTAGCTTTTGCCAACCTGCGTCATTTATGGCGTAGGCGAGATATCCGTCTATCAACCAAAGGACGTGTTTACTGCGCAGCAGTTCGTCCCGTCCTACTTTATGACAGTGAAACATGGCCGGTAAGAGTAGAGGATATTCGTAGGCTACTAGTATTCGATCATAGGTGTCTTTGAAACATTGCTCGTATATCATGGGACCATCGAGTAAGTAACACAGTCGTCAGGGATCGGGTACTAGGTAAGGATGGCAAATCAATTGATGAAGTAGTGAAACTTCATCAGTTGAGATGGCTGGGACACGTGTTACGTATGCCCAACGACCGACTACCTCGACGTGCTATGTTCAGTGGTATAGGAGTAGGTTGGAAGAAAGCTAGGGGCGGCCAAACCAAAACATGGCACAAGTCCATGAAGTCACTGACAAGTGGACTGAGTCATGTTGGTAGGTGTAGACTACCTGGTTGGGGTCCACGAGATGATAGCAACCGATGGTTAGAGACCCTGAATGACATGGCTCAAAATCGTTTGCAATGGCGCAGGTGCATCCACTCTCTGTGTTCTCCCAAATTCTAATCTTCTGAATTCTTCATGTCCCTTTTTTCCTCTTTCCAAATTTGTTTCACTGGATTATACTCTTTAAATAACATCTCCAAACCCTAATCTTCCCGATTACTGCTTATACTCTTATTACCTCTACCACTACGGGATTTGAATCGACAACTGCATCTCTGTGCTAATGTGGTGTGGCAACTCGAACTGATGTACGTACGTACGAAGTTCTACGTTGTTACTGACTGACTGACAATTGCATTTATACTGCCAACCGTTTTAATTACAGTAGTTATTTTAAATTAACTATTTATCTATTCTAGAGTAATGAAGTTTATGTCTCTGGCTATTACAACAGTTTCTTGAATATGATGCAAAAGTACTTCATAATAACGAATCTATATGTTCCAACTACTTTTGTAATTACCACATTTTAATAGCTTAACAGTAAATAGCTCTAACTGTGAAATTCATTTCATGTTTACCCGTATTGATATTATCGTTGCTCTTTCTAATTGACTATTGTGTGCAACATCATTTTTCCCATATTTACTGTATTTTTCAGGAATCACCCAACTCTTCTAAGGGAAATGATTCGTTGGACCAGTTACGTAATAATGTGAATACTGTAACAGCTGTAATGCAAGAGAATACTAGACTAGCGCTTCAACGAGGTGATCGGTTAAACAATTTGGTCAGTAAAACAGATGAACTTGCAGCCAGCGTGAGTGTTTGCAATTATATAATGTTTTGTATTATTTTCGGCTTTAATTTTGGCTTATGCATTTATATTCAAATTATTATAATAATTAATTTTCTCTGAAAAATTGTTTCATATCATAAGTATTTGCTTGTGACATTCTATCCATAGAAAAATTTATATCTCAGATGTGACCTGGACTTGACTTTAAAATCCAACAATATTCTTATTATAACTCGGGATACACTAATTCAAACAGTATTCAGCCGACCAACGTCTTATGAAGTTGTGACTTAATGGTCGAAGCATTCGTCTTTCATACTATAGGTCAGAGTTTCACACCCCATTCCACTTAATTTGATCTGGGCACCCAGGTAGTATTATAGTGAACAGAACACCAGTGGGGACAGTCGGATGTATCTCAATAAAATCTGAGAACCATATAGTAAATCGTTAGTTTGCGATCCATCATCTCAAACTTGACTGTTCCTATTGCAAACATCAATCCATTGTCTCAGATTTCATTGTTCATGCGTTTTCATACCAATTGCATTCCGTTCCCGTTATTTCCTCATCGACCTACTGAAATACATTCTATGCCTGGTCACCGTTATATACTACTTATGTGGATATAAGTAACCCACACCACATTATTACTTGCCTACACACAAATGGCTTGGTTCACGGCTAATTACCTAAATAAAGTACAAAAGGTGTATGGTTCATTCAGCCACTGTTCTACATTGAATCCCGATTTGTGATCGCCTTTAACGATCTTGTTAACATCAAGATGACTTATCGTTTTCGCACTCTATTTGTGTTAACACTACTGGGAAGTTGTTTATCAAATGACTTGCGTTTTTGTTTGAGGAATTGCTACTAAGCATACTAAGATATTGATTTCTTGTTAGCAATGTATCTCAGTAGACTAATTGTCATAAATCCGATCATGTTTAGTAAGTGATCAGCACCAGAGTTTACTCTAATTTTGTCGTCACTCTTTAAAGAAGAAAGGCTGGTAAAACTTACTATACTGGGGATCTTAGGTGACTTATTATCCAATCAGAAAAGTGTTTACTTATAAAATAACTAACAATAAGAAGTCATAAATAAAATTATTGTAGATAAATAGTTCTAACATGATCAATGAACCTTTATGTATTAAATTATTATAGTAAACGAAGAATGATAAGGGTTATGTATTAGGAGTTTGGGCTAGGGTTATAAGGTTTTTATTCGCAAACTGATACAGCTATGATGCGAGTGCTTTATAACAATATGGATGAATGGATTTCGCGCAAATATTCAAGAGGTGCTATCTAATGGCTAACTACTTCGTCCATAAATTATGGTATCATCCTATTGTTTAGAGAGAGGTTTAGGAGTTGGAGTGAGAAGATACTTTGCGATCATATAAACGCTCTTGACTATATCCAAAATCACATCATTTAGATGCAATCTTCATTAGCGGCGGGTATTTCTCTGAGTTAAGTTTACATACTATGTCACATCTATTATGTGGTTGCATAAGAATACTTTTTCCATCGATTTTAAATATTTTGGGAACTAGATATCGGTAGGGTTTGCTTAGTTTGATTTTTGCGCAGAAATCGGATATGGGTTATCATAAGTCTCGATCTATTCAAGGTCGTCAGTATAGTTCAGTTTTACCAAGACGTTGACTCACTAGGTTGTTGGCTGAAAGGTATTCCTATTCAATATGTTAAACCAACTTTGATTTTATATCTTATCCTGTTGTATCAGTTAACATTTTAAATAGCCGGTAGATTGTTTTCAAGATACAAAATGAAAAGCAAATATCAAAACTAGTATAACTGAAGCTTACAAGTCCTCTTAAGGAGAATAAGTAAATTAAATAATATTTTGAAGAGTCGCTAAGTTAGTGTCTTTAAATTTAAAATCACGTACCAACTTATGTAGAATCATGAAATGAACTAAGAATGTCTGGATAATGATACCTCGTTTTAAAGAGAAATACATATATATATAATGTAAGGGTTTTTATGCAACTTTTTAGAGTTATAAAGTACATGACATATTACTCGCTTTCGTAATGTCGAGTCGTTTAGTCACCTAAAATTTAAACTTATCGATAGTTATTAACCTTTATTTATTAAAGCTGTATCTGTATTTTCAATATGCTTTTATGTACTTTACTTAAATGAAATATTGGATCATAAACAGTTTATTTATTCAATTTGAACAATATCAGATGAGGAAGTTGAATATTTTATAGATGCCAGACAATCAATCGTATTTTCACATGTAAAATTGCCTTCAAAAGTTTTGTTATCATAATTCAGGTTATTAAGTTTATTAAAAGTTAGTTCTATAAATTTCTGTGCTCTGTCATTCTTATTAATCATCGGTTGGCTTTTGGTTTTCGTGTAGTTTCATCCTTTGAGTCGGATAATTGAACCTTGAAGCATTCGTTGTTCTTCTAAACAACATCATCAACATAAACTTCAGGTAGTTTATGTTGGAAATGTTGTCCAGGAGAACTATGAAAACTTCATGGTACAATCATTTAATTCAGAAAACGAAATTTCACCTGATCTACAAATCTTCTCCCATTTTTATACGTCAATTATCCTTCTGTAATCCAGCTAATGAATTTATCTCAATATATATTCAATGCTTGCACTTTTATTTCATTTTTGACTCAAGTTAACTATTATCTGTACAGAAATGTAGGTTGTAACATTTACTTCCTAACTTAATGCTTGTAAATGTATAAACAAAAAAGCAATACTTGCAGATATTAATTTACTTTGTTTATTGTTTTTCTCCTCGATCGATTACTTCCTCTCTCACACATACACACTATGTCTTTCTGTTAGTATACAACCTTTTTCTCTTCGCATTGTAAGTTGTTCTGTCAAGGCAACGCATTTTGTTTTCCTTCGCAACCGATTTCTTCTGAAATTTACTACAGGGTCGTATGTCACGGCTATTGTTCTTTACATTCATTTATATGTAGATTTCTCTTCTTTTGCTCATAATAATATAGAAATTTGTTGTATCTTGTGTATTCTAGTTTTGCTTTTATCGTTCTCCTTTGAGGGCATAATTTATTTAAGGGAAAATTATTATAGATTAGGCAATGTTTGCTTTTATATTGAATACTATACTTTTTGTATTAGAGCTGTTCAATTAATCGATGATTCGACAGTTCTGTGAATTGTGAGGAAAATAGTACTTGAACATTGTTGGGCCTTTATGTGTTAGTGTAACTGTTTCATAGAAAAAGGCGAACCGTAATCTACTCTCATTCCACAAAACACAACGTAACAGTTCAACTGGTCTTGAACTACTCTTCAGTTACCCACTATTTCCAGACAACCTCAATAGAAAATTGACATGTCTTACAACTATTACCAAAGTTGATAAGGCCATGTTCAACTCGAAGAAAAGACTAATGATTTATTTTTATATTTTCTTATGTATAAACTCACAAAAATTATTCAAAATCGTTTTTCTTCAGGCTAATCAATTCCAAACAACTGCTACAAAGGTGGCCCGAAAAACTTGGTGGGAAAATTTTCGTATGAAATTAATTATTGTTGGCGTTGTCGGTGGCATACTTCTGGTAATTGTGATAATTATACTCTGGCAGACTGGAGTGTTCAATAGCAAATCGCAACACCAGTAATAATAGCAACAGTAAATAATTCACTTCATATTGTTTATTACATGGAACAGAAAATGCAAAGAAACACCCATATTAAAATTAGGTGAGATATTCGATGTGTTTTTTTACTGGATCAGTTTATACAATACTTATTCCATTCAAACGTCTTGTTAAAATTTCCATTTTCTTTACTGCGACATGTTTTCCTTTTTGTCCCTCGTGACATAAATTTTACAAATGATGACAATGATTGTTATTGCACAGTATATTGTAATTTTTATGCTATACTATAAATATACATACTTGAGTCTTTTTTTTGTAATCACTATCCCTACTACTAATCCTACATTAACTACTTCTCACTGATGTAATGTCTTTTCTATATAGGCGCAGAGATTTAATAACAATTATATATATATAGTGTTCGGAATGATTTTTTCACTCAACATCTATCTCCTTTGTATGGATGACTATCTTTCCGATGTATATTGATCATTTATTCTCTATTGATTCCAATACACATTTTCTTTACCTTCAATAACAATGACTTTTTGAAAGCTGATGATTATAAATAAATGAAAGATAAAAGAGGTACAAACTGTTTGATAACTTTTTGTTGGAATTACACTTTGTAAACGTATGTATTTGTGTTTATGCGTGCGTGCGTTCATGTATGTTCAAGTGGCTTCATAATAATCCCATCATTATTCATTTTCATCATTATTTCCGTGCCCTATCCTTTTTACTTCTTCTCTACAGATAATCTAAAGTATACTCATTTCTGTACTATTTCTTCTTGCGATTGTTCTTATTATGATTAACATTATGAACAAAATATGTATTTGGAATTTCTACTGTGAAAGAATTCCTTCTTATTATTGATTTATACTTATCATGGTTTTACTTTTTACCAGATTTAAATTAATATGTTTGCTCAATATACATAAATTTTCTTTTCCTTTTTTTAAAAAAAAAGAAAAATCATATTTGTCGTGTAATGAATACCAACAAAATTGAATTCTAAATTTGTTTTGGATTTCTATAAAATTAATGGAATGATTGTAATGTTGAATCTGTGTAAACGCATAAATTTAACAGATTAGTTCAGGTGTGTGTTGTATTTGTTTTGGTTACTATAGTGTTGACATATCAACGAAGTAAAACATGGGTGTTTACCAAAGTGATTTTTCATTTTGATTCATTTAAGTTTTGGATTTTGTTTAAGACCCGTTACTTCCATTTAGTTGTGCATTCGAAACCATCTCCATATTCTGATGTTTGGACGTACGAATTGTAGTACTATCAGGGCATTCGTTATGTTTGGCTGAAAATGTAATATGCGAACATTTATGCAGTTCCTGAGATTATAATTATTTATTAATAAAAAAGTATTCCTATAAATAGGAGTAAACTACAACCCTTAAAAAACCGATGAATTCGTAGACATTTTATAAATGTCTTAAAAACAAAACTCATATGGTTAATGAGGTTGAACAGAACTTCCCTACTAATTTTATTATTTATACAAATATAATGTCAGTAATGATGTTACAGATCACTATTTATAGTCCACCATTTAACATGAGAATCAAATCATTCTTAATTTTTGTCAGATAGTTTTTGCAAAGAAGAATATAAAGTTACTTATGACGTGCACAATTATGTGATGCGAAATATTCTATCTCAATTATTGTTGTAACTGTATCTGTTTTCTTGAGAATAAAAAAAATTCATGTGTTGATTGACGACTGTTTTTGAATAAAGATGATGGGAAATATTTCTTTCAGATCCATACACAGCTCATTGTCGCCATCATCAACTGTTAATATCTTTTTCTGTTATACTCCTGTCTTTCTCTTTGTTTTATATAAACATTGTTCGTGGATCTTAGTTTAGATTACACGATCTTTATGAGTTGCGTAATTGTTTAATGTACATATTGCTTTTAAGCAATTCGTTTTTGTGGTGATTTTATTATGTTTCAATGTAAATTTGAAACAGCAAATGTATATATGGCTTCCACAGCATGCCATTTAACTATTTATTTCACCATCATTCTACCTTAAAATTGAGAGGAGCATCATTAGTCACAAGTGATATCGGGCATCAAAGTCACGTTAATATTTGTTATTAATTTGTGGCTCCGCCAATTTATCGTCTTTATAATATGATCTGATAATGCTTGCTTAATAGTTTCCAGTTTATATAGATTAAATTACTGAAAATTGTATGTACTCACTAAAGTGTGTCAAATCAATGAGTTTCGTGAGTGTAATGCTGGGTACTTTTTTTCTATGTTAACATTTTTACTTAGCACTATCACTACAAATAGACCAAGTAATTTACTGATCATTCATTAATAAGGTTGAAGAGGGTAATACTAAGTTTGCCAAGCATTAACACAATAGATTCTGATTGATTGTTACTGTTTAAAAAAATAACATCTAGTTTTCTTAATTGTTATTGATGATACCTGTATAATCGGCTTCTGTCTCCACAGTACATAAGCAAAATAATGAAATATTTTATATGAATTTTGATTGTATCGGTCTAAGTAATATAGTTCATATTACATATAGGATTGCATTATCATACCATAGATTTCTTAGATGGTAAATATCTAACATAAATAAAAATAATCTTAACAATGAAACAGGTACAACTGTCAGATTTTTCGCTATAAACTAACAAAGATTTATATTTCTTTAATATTTCTATCTATTTTAACATTACTCAGTATACTATAAGGCTAGTTTAGAATTAATTTATCTTTTTCTCTAACATTCTTATTAATATAGAAGAATGATTGATTATTATAGTAGTACATATTGACATTAGTCGACTCTTATTGTAATAAGTTTTCTATCTTTTATTTCTCTACAACAACAAAAAATCACTGATAAATTTTACACGTAGAAGTTCATTTCTGATTTGTATCTTCTCATAAATTACATTTTCTAATTGATTAGTGACATATATACAAGTAGTCCTTATTATTTACATAATATTTTATTATCTTTATAAGTCCATTGTTTACGTGAAATATAATCATCAAATCGATTTTTGTTTCGTTTGATAGACATATATTAAGTTTGAGTACATAATAATAATCTCCGATCAAATATACCTTAATTTAGTACAGAATTTGTACTAATCATCTGATTAGATAATGAATAAATAATTTTTTTGGCGATCAGCTGAAAAATTTATATTATCAAAATTTCTTGTAAGAATGTATGATTTCTGAATATAAATAATAATAATAATATTGATGAAATATGGTTTCACTATATCACGAATAAACTAAAGTTGGGTATGTTAGTTATTGAATTGTGGTTTATTGAATAGCTTGATTACACTGCTACCTTGAAGTGAGCTTGCATCTTGTGATAACTCAGTTGACTTACATTAGCCATAACCTTCTTTCATGTACTCCCTACTATGTTATGCAGGCGGATTAGGAGAAAGGTAAGATTAAAAGAAACAAATTTATGTTCGAAGGCGAAGTTATACTGCAAACTGTACAGAGTGTGACTACAGTAAGTTCTTTCCACTAAACAACCAGCATCTGTAACGATCCTGCCTTTCTACAACAGAATGAATGGGTTTGAAATGTTCAGCTGTAACAATAATACATTTCAACTTGTGACACGGATATCTTTCACCAGTAGTAAGGTTGAAAAAGCACGGAGCTAATGCACTAAAATTACTCACAAAAAGGTCGTATATAACAGGTCTCAAACGATGTCCACTTGTGCTCTGCAGTCACGCCCTTAAGTTAATTAAACCACAACTAATCCTGTTACTTTTTAAAGTGTTTTCTCAAGAGATTTTCTTCCACAGTGTAGAGGACCATGAAGTGACAACGAATCTCATACTTTTTCCAACACTTGAGGTCACTGTGTTCATATTCTCCGACCTTTTCTTCACTTCCAACCAAATAACAATTTGCTCGTTGCAGATCACATCAACCTGGTTGTTTGATTCCCTTCATTTTTGATGAATCTTTATTCATTGTCAATTCTCGATGAGAACTATTGTAGAATTAAGTACAATTCTTACAAACAGCTTAATTCAATAAAAAGAGAACAAACAGTTTTTGAATTTCAATCAAACTATTTATTAAGATAATCTGATTAATAAATTAGTTTGTTTACTTCTTTCACCTAATTCTGAAAGAAATCGATTAGTTATAGAAAATTTGTTAATACTGAAGGTGTACTCAGTAAAATCTGATCAGATATATGGTTTAAGTTCTACACAGTAGTGGGACACAATGTTTGATAAATTAGTGAGAAATCAGTAACAAAGGATTGTTGGCATTTGTTTGATCCGTTTTTGTTTCTTAAATTTCCTGAACATGTCTCCGTAATATCAATATTTAGTTGATTATATCTTAAATTCAAATACCACATATTCACGATTTGTTAGCTGGATGTACATACATCCCAGTGTTTATATTCCTGTTAAAACTGAAGGCCTGGAGCTATCACTTCAAATATTAGAGGATTATTTGAATAGAACTGAACGTCTAACATGAATCAAACTGTTACCGATTTTCCAAATTATAATCGATCGGTAAATCCATAAAACACCAAGGTATACTTTTAAGGAACCTGTATAACAACGACTGGTGAAATTCAGTCATGAATATTAATTAGAAAATATTTATAATCATTACAGCTAACCCCATACCTTTTGAAGAGGTGAGAGCTATTGTGACTCAGTAGTTTAGAGTATGATTTTCTAACTGGTGAAGAGATAAAGTGATTCATTAAACTTTCAATAAAAACAACGGTGGTGCACATACATCCATCCACTGGTTTTCGAATAGGTTGAAAAAATTATTCTCGATCCTCCTGCTCTCTACTATATAACATAAACGACTATAATTAAAGTTATTGACCGGATACCATCAGCAACAGCCTTCTCTGGGAGAGAACAAACCAGCTTCCATCTGAAAAGGAGAAATTAGGAAAAGGCGATGGAAATGGATAGGACATACATTACGCAAATCATCA